CCTATAAAAACAAGGTCACTGGTGATTTTCTCTAATGGCTCATTTTGATAACCCTTCAATCATTTTAACCTCTCCAGTTGTAAAAGTTTACAGTTTGGAGACTCTTTCAATCATTTTTTTAACCAATATACCCTACCCTTGGTATAAAATGATCCAATAAACAGTTGCCATGGTCGCGTAAATCGAGGGTATTTTGGCCTAAAGATGGTCCAATTAGCCAAAATAGTAAGTTATGAGCCATTTTGTGTATAAACTCCCAATAATAAATGATTGCTGGTACCGTCTACGTCAAGCATGAAAAATATTTTATCAAGAAAACAACTCTTGGTGGATGAGAAATGGTGAAAATTTGTGTAATGACCATTGGATCCTCTTAGAAACCAGCTCTTCTCTCAATTTAAAGGTTGCAATATTTTAAACTTACAGAACTGAAACAGAGGAGAAGATTGTTGGTTTGATTGTTAGTCCTTCAAACATTATTTTCAATCATGTTTACATATTTGTGGTTAGCTCAGCAGCTATGTTGGAGAGTTGGGCTACACTAACTGTGGTTTGATCATAGAAGTTAACATTCGTTTCCTTTTTGACAAGTAAATCTCCAGAACCTATTGTTAACACAGCTTTCCTTTCCTAGCCTACACGGAAGTCAACTTCACAATCTCCTCATAGCAATTAGCCTTTCTTGCTGTAAATCGGATTGTATTCATGTCTATATTATTTCATACCTAAGTAGATATCATGTACTAGTATAAATAAGGACTTTGTTTAATCTGTTAAATACAAGGAAATATATTCTCTACATGGTATTAGCCTAACCTAGGGTTTTCTCCATCTCCCTTATTCGATCCTCTTCTCCTTTAGGTCCACCTCATGGCTTTGTCTGAATCCACCATCTCCCTCCCTAGCCCCAACTCTTCTCATTTTATCAAGCTTACTGATTCCAACTATCTCCTTTAGCTCCGCCAACTCAAACCCTTTTTAGTCGGTCATGACCTCTAGAAATTTATCGATGACACTCATAAACAACCTTCTGCCCAAACCTCCACTTCTACCACCGCAACACCTACTACCACCACCACCACTCTTACCCAAACCAATCCCGTGCATGCTCAGTGGTACCAACAAGACCAACTCATTTTTAGTTACATCACTAGTACACTCTCTAAGTCCATTCTCTCTTTCACCGTCGGCTGCACCTTTGCCCGGGATCTCTGGAAGTGTCTCTAATGCCACTTC